ATTTTGCTATAAAACATAAAATATCTACGTTTTAAAATTAATCTGTATGGCAATTATTTGCTCCTTAAATGCTCCAGCAGAATCCGAATTTGCTCCACCTCTATTGCTATTAGTTAATTTATAAATAATTTTTAAAAAATTTAAGTATCGAAAATTTAATTTTGCTATAAAACAGAAAATATATAGTTTTTAAAAATAAACTGTATGGCAATTATTTGCTCCTTAAATGCTCCAGCTGAATCCGAAATTGCTATACCTCTATTGCTATTAGTTAATTTATAATTAATTTTTAAAAAAATAACCAGAAGGAAGTTAGCGTAGAACATTATTTTTTTAAATTAAATTGTATACCAATTAATTGCTCCTTAAATGCTCCAGCAGAATCCGAAATTGCTCCACCTCTATTGTTATTAATTAATTTATAATTAATTTTTACAAAAATAACCAGAAGGAAGTTAGCGTAGAACATTATTTATTTAAATTAAATTGTATACCAATTAATTGCTCCTTAAATGCTCCAGCAGAATCCGAAATTGCTCCACCTCTATTGTTATTAGTTATTTTATAATTAATTTTAAAAAAAATTAAGTATCAATAATTTAATTTTGCTATAAAGTATAAAATATCTACTTTTTTAAATTAAACTGTATGCCAATTAATTGCTCCTTAAATGCTCCAGCAGAATCCGAAATTGCTCCACCTCTATTGTTATTAGTTATTTTATAATTAATTTTAAAAAAAATTAAGTATCAAAAATTTAATTTTGTTATAAAGTATAAAATATCTACTTTTTTAAATTAAACTGTATGCCAATTAATTGCTCCTTAAATGCTCCAGCAGAATCCGAAATTGTTCCACCTCTATTGTAATTAGTTAATTTATAAATAATTTTGAGAAAGAGTGATCCCATTTGAGTAATAGCGCCATCATCAATAGAATGTAGTAACATTCTATAGTAAAAGTCATTTTATCGAATAAAAATTCAAAACACTCAAAAGTGGTATGTATAATAGATGCTAAATGGCATAAACCCAAAAAATAATATTGATAGGTGAGTTTTGAAATTATGGATTCTTAGGAATGGATTAGACAACCATCTTAATAATTTTTTGTGTTAGTGCCATCTAGCATCTTTTCTACGTACCACCATGAGAGTTAACCAATTTTGATTTGATAAAATGACTACTTATAGAAAAAAAGAAATAGATGGTGCTATTAAAAAAAATACGTATATAATAAATAGTAATTACCTAATTAACAAACAAAACAGATATGTCTCTTCTTAAGATCGAATACATCTGTATATAATTTTATGTAAATAAATGAATAATACACACCATCTATGTTATTCAAAAGTCATTGATGAATAATTGAAATGTTTCCCTGTAATACAAAAGTTTCACTTCTGTCGTGTGTCTTCACGATACACACTGTTTTTTGTAACGCTTTTGTAATATGTTTATATAAGTAACCAGCTGTGCCCCGCGGTTTCACATCATCACATGTTGGAGGTGCGCGACATGACCTAGTTCAAGCATTTTATAATTGCAATTAAATATTTTATTTGATAGCAATGGATGGAAAATTTGGCATAATTAATGGAGCACTTTTATCTGTCGGTATATTATGTATGATGTAGAGCGAAGTTAAGTTTTATCCACTTTCCCTCCCCCTCCCGGTTGAGCAGTTCTCGCAGTTCTCACCGGGCGGCTAAGGTCTATGTGCCGTTCGCGCGCCCAGCCAAGTATTGAATTATTTTAATTTTACATTATCTCTTAAACTATGAGGCCAAATAGCATGGTATAAAGAACAAGGCTTATCTTCATAAAATTGTCTTGATGATGAAGTAACTTTCGTTCGTAAGGATAAATAGGCCATGCCTAATAATAACGCTCATAAATCACTTTATTAATTTTCAATATTTTTTGTCATAAAACACCTAATTATGGCTTATGTATAAGAAATAGACATATGGTATCGCGGACTTTTTTTAGACGGAGTAAAGATCTATATTTTTCTAGAACATTTTATTTACGTATCCCTAACGATAACACCAGCGTACGCGGATAAATCATTTCGAGAGTGCGTTTTCTTCTGACTTGCTTAACAAATATCCATATTTTAGGCTAGCTGAGTGATATAGCTTAATGTTAGATAGCCTATACTATTCCACATGAATCTGGCTATAATATACAAAAATAATTTTTCAAATCGGACTGGTAGTTCCAGAGATTAGCGCGTTTAAACAAACAAAGAAACAAAAAACTCATCCGCTTTATTATATTAAGTATAGATACATATAAATAACTTACATAATATATATATAAGTATTAATATAATTTATACCTTTTTTTAAATTTAACACTGAGAAAACTAATAAAAATACATAAATATAAAGCTAAGATGGAAATTCAAATAAACTAATAGGCAACATGACAGCTCAGTAAGTGTACGAGACTATTTCTTAAGGGGCTACTCCATGCGAACGACCTTGAGCATTTTGCCGGCGGCGCGCCGCTCGTTTCAATATATTGCCCTATTGTAGGTAAGAACGTAGTATTATTTTTTCAACATCAATAAACTAATTTATGGAAATACACACAGCGTACAACGATAAATGTATTTTAATTTTTTTATTCGGTATATTTGTTGCATTATATTAGAATTATGTATTTTCATATATTATCTAATTATGAAATTTTATAATTAATTATATATTAAAAATGAAGCATTGAAAATTGTGAGTTTAAAAGATACCTATTCACTATAGGTAAATAAATAGATAGCTCGCCTTTTGTACAAATATTTGGTGCAAGAAAGAATAAATAAATAAATAGGATGTTTCGTAGATGTGTTTTTGATTATTGTTAATTTTTACGTGTCACGTATTGAAAAGTAACATACCTACCTACAATTTTTTGAACTGAGCACCTTGTAACTTAGCCTGCTTATTACTTATGCTGGCAGACATTATCCTCGCCCCAATGATTGATGAGGATGAAAATCAATTTTATTTCTACATACGTAATTATATTTATTTATTCATAAGGGTAACTTTAATAAAGGTAATACAAAAATCAACAAGAAGTATAAGGGTTTAATCTTTCAATTTCAATTGTAAAAAAACGTTACCCCCACACTAGGATTTTCTCCTGTGTCGTGGAGGCAGTTTACAAACATAAATTTCACAAGGACAAACATCCAGACCCGGAACAATTATTTGTATGTCCTACATTATTTACATAAAATTATATACAGATGTGTCACAGTGCATCATCTTCTTCGATCTTAAGAAGAGACATATCTGTTTTGTTTGTTAATTAGGTAATTTCTATTTATTATATACGTATTTTTTTAATAGCACCATCTATTTCTTTTTTTCTATAAGTAGTCATTTTATCAAATCAAAATTGGTTAACTCTCATGGTGGTACGTAGAAAAGACGCTAGATGGCACTAACACAAAAAAAATATTAAGATGGTTGTCTAATCCATTCCTAAGAATCCATAATTTCAAAACTCACCCATCAATATTATTTTTTGGGTTTATGCCATTTAGCATCTATTATACGTACCACTTTTGAGTGTTTTGAATTTTTATTCGATAAAATGACTTTTACTATAGAATGTTACTACATTCTATTGATGATGGCGCTATTACTCAAATGGGATCACTCTTTCTCAAAATTATTTATAAATTAACTAATAGCAATAGAGGTGGAGCAAATTCGGATTCTGCTGGAGCATTTAAGGAGCAATTAATTGGCATACAGTTTAATTTAAAAAAGTAGATATTTTATACTTTATAGCAAAATTAAATTTTTGATACTTAATTTTTTTTAAATTAATTATAAAATAACTAATAACAATAGAGGTGGATCAATTTCGGATTCTGCTGGAGCATTTAAGGAGCAATTAATTGGTATACAATTTAATTTAAAAAAATAATGTTCTACGCTAACTTCCTTCTGGTTATTTTTTTAAAAATTAATTATAAATTAATTAATAACAATAGAGGTGGAGCAATTTCGGATTCTGCTGGAGCATTTAAGGAGCAATTAATTGGTATACAATTTAATTTAAAAAAATAATGTTCTACGCTAACTTCCTTCAGGTTATTTTTTAAAAAATTAATTATAAATTAACTAATAGCAATAGAGGTATAGCAATTTCGGATTCAGCTGGAGCATTTAAAGAGCAAATAATTGGCATACAGTTTATTTTTAAAAACTATATATTTTCTGTTTTATAGCAAAATTAAATTTTCGATACTTAAATTTTTTAAAAATTATTTATAAATTAACTAATAGCAATAGAGGTGGAGCAAATTTGGATTCTGCTGGAGCATTTAAGGGGCAAATAATTTCCATACAGTTTAATTTTAAAACGTAGATATTTTATGTTTTATAGCAAAATTGAATTGTTGATACTTAATTTTTTTTTAAATTAATTATAAATTAACTAATTACAATAGAGGTGGAGCAAATTCGGATTCTGCTGGAACATTTAAGGAGCAATTAATTGGCATACAGTTTAATTTAAAAAAGTAGATATTTTATACTTTATAGCAAAATTAAATTTTTGATACTTAATTTTTTAAAAATTAATTATAAAATAACTAATAACAATAGAGGTGGAGCAATTTCGGATACTGCTGGAGCATTTATGTAGCAATTAATTGCCACACAGTTTAGTTAAAAAAAAGAATGTTCTACGCTAACTTCCATCTGGTTATAAAAAAAGTACCTGAATAAAATATTAATAAATAATCCAGTCTGGTAACACTGTTCAATGGTTGGTTGCGCGCCGCGCACGCGCCGCGCAACTTATTTTTTTGTAACTTTACCGTAGAAAATAATGTCGCTTTGTAAAGTGAGTAAATAAAAACCATTGGATTGGCGAGACAATCAACGTAACGCGGTGTAATTTTATTACTTTCAGTTTTATTTGTCGCCAGTAAAAACGAACTCTTGTTGTATACAATATAACAATGTAGTGGTAATGGAATCCTTAGAAGACTCTAATTGTCCCTCAATAAGCGATAGTTTGTCTTTATACCAGCGCTATATGCGGAGTTTTAATGTAGTAGATAAATTGGTGCAAAATAACAATAATTTTGAACAAGCAGAGCCTGTTTCGTCAAGCACTCGCGATTACGAAAGCTCTAACAGTGGGGGTAACATTGATTTGTCAGCTGTTATTCCGTCAAATGTGGACAAACACTGTGTGGGGCTGAAAGGTGATTACAGTTCCTTGCAACATATTAGTGATATCGACAATTACGTACAGAAACAACATTCTGACACAGAAGCAGATTTGCGTACTAAAGCAGAATCGTCCTGCACCTCTTTAGTGGGGTCATTGCTCGAGACCTCGTCCAGTACCCAAGAACATAGTGACTTACATGATAAATCTAACCTTGTTGAAGCTGACGCTCGCGTTTATTTAGAAGATTCGAAATCTGAAAGTTTTAAACATACTGTTTTTATAACCTCAACTATGGAAAATAGTAATAATGCTGTAGATAGCGTGCCAATGTTTCGCGACACAAGACATTCTGAAAGTATCTTTAAATTGCCAATTAGCGAGCTTTCCTTTAATGGTACAATAAAACATATTCAAAAGTTAAAACCCATTGTAGACCCTTTAACAGCTCTAAGTACTGCTAACCCTGGACTGGTTGCATTGTATGATAATCCAGTTAACAATGTAGAATGTGTAGCAAGCAGCAGTGCTTCAATGAATTTATGTGTACAACAGGATAATTGTCAACCTCTTAGTGACACATCTGAAGACAAAAGTACATGTGATGCAGGCAAAGTAGATAAAGCTACTGAAAGTAGTGGAGACTCACAATATGAAGAATTCAATCTTAAAAAGGAATATGTGAAATTTAATAATGAAGACGGGAGCAATACTAAATGGAGTTTGGAACAAAGTTATTCTTCAATAGAAACATCATTTGATAGCGGTGTGAGATCTCCCGATATGTTTTCTGATGATGATGCTGAATCTACTTCAGACCCGGAACCATTCTGGAATTTTCTTAAGGATTTTGAAAGTTATGACAAAAGGAAAGTCAGAAAAATTGAGGTAATTTATTTTATTAGTAATTAGCATATTTATAAAGTGAAAGTAGATTAGGTTAAATTTTGATAAGGTTTTATATTTTTATGATAAAACAAAATGGGTCAGTAAAGATGTATTTTTTATTATTTATGATGTGATACCAATATCAGCAGTAGTTAATTATTTTTTTTATAGAATAAGTGTGACAGACAAGCACACAATTCAAATTGACCTGATGGTAAGTGGATGCTGTCATTTACATCTATCCTCTATTAAGAATCAAAATGTAGATGTTTTGTCACACATAAGGATTAAGATGGAATTCTTAATTTCCAGTAACAAGAGTCTCTGAGTTCTTTATACTTACATCCAAAACACATTAGCATTATGCTAAGGGAGTAAAGGGTGACTGAGATATGTTGAAGAATGGTTGATCCTCTTGAACTTTCTGTGCCTGGTTTTTTTAGCACCAAGGGTCACCTCAGACTCAATTCAACCTAGTGTTGCTGATATTACTTAAAGCACCTTGCTTTTGACATAAATTTGACATAAATAAAATCATAGTTATTTTAATTATTATTTGAATTTTTCTGTTGACCTATTTTTGGATACTATTATATGTATGTGGATATAATGCAACATAAATACTTATAGCATCATTAAATAATAATAACATGTAATAAATTATTAGACCAAAATCACAAGTGAAAATGTTGGTTCAATGTTCCAATATGGTCACCTAAAGAGACAGTGCTACCACTATTACACTTCTGATCTATATATATATAATCTATATTTCTTGTGTATTTCTATTGTTACAGCACTTTACAACAAAGTCTCAGAAAATATACAAAATTTGATCTGCTCAAAGTTCAAAAAGGGTTGGCTTTAGTAATCTGTGGCACAATTTAAGTGATCATTTTAGCTTTAGGTAATAGGCAATGATGCTATTGATTACCATCTAGCTGCTTTTTATGCCGGAAGTCTTTAGTTTTCGAGATATCAATAATTATAATTTTGAGGTTATATTCATTTAAAATTGATACGAATACGAAATAACAATATAATTATTAGAAAGAGATAGCAATGGAGCATGGTCTGTATCTGTTTTAAAAAATAACATGCAATTTTAGCTGCCAGAGCTGCATCGAAATATTTAAAATTATTTTCTAAAAATATTCATAAATCACTAATTAATACCTGAAACTGAACTTTTGACATTGACAGTCACAGATATACTCGACCAAAGGAATATAATCACTACGTTTTACGATTATTTTCGACTTAGCGACTCGCGTCACAAGCGTCATTCCATTGCTTCCGAGTTTACGTGAATGTGCTCCTTATTGTTATTATCTGCCTCCTGTTTTTCGACGACTTCACTACCTCTCTGGAGACCGATTGCTTGCTATTTTACGACGTTTTTGGAAATGGTGGAAGTAGTAAAATATGTTTATAACAGTGGTAGAGCCAAGCGGTAGCTTTTGCTGTCGCACGGATGGGCCAGCTCGAACCGGGGTGGTACCACGACCTCACAGAATACCAGTGTGAAGTAGAAGTTTACCTCTGCATTGCGCTTGGTTGAATTAAATAAAAGACTACCCCAGGAGGATACCAGCACCCCTGGAGAATCGCTCGCTGAGCATCCACGACCAAACTACTTCACTCCTGAGCGTGGGTGCTCAGGCTGCCCCGCGTATTCTGGGGGGGGCAAAATACCGCTCGCGACTAATGCTGCTCGGGGCAAGCGGAGCAATACAACCAAGGCGACCCCTTTCACGCTATCCATGAATTTTTGCAACATCAGGGGACTTCATTCCAACCTTAACGCTGTCCATGACCATCTAGAGACGGGGAAGCCGGCCTTGCTCTTTTTGACCGAGACTCAGGTGTCCTCTCCGGCTGATACTTCATATCTCTCCTACCCGGGGTACAAATTGGAACACTCCTTTGTGCCCCGGGCTGGAGTTTGCGTATACGTCAGAGAGGACATCTGTTTTCGACGCCTCGGCAGTTTTGAAGGTATGGACCTGTCCATTCTATGGCTGCACGTAGACAGCGACGACCATCCCCGCGTCTACGGGTGCCTCTATAGGTCCCATAGCGGTAATGCCGACACAGACCGACTCATCGACCATGTCCAATTGGCTGCAGACTCCATGCTACAACAGGTCCCATCCGCAGAGATCGTGATACTCGGTGATTTCAACGCCCACCACGCTGAATGGCTTGGTTCTCGTTTAACCGATCATGCGGGTAGATCTGTCTATGACTTTGCTTTGGCATATGGTCTAACACAACTGGTTACTTCGTCTACGCGGATCCCAGATGTGGAAGACCATGTACCTTCCCTGTTGGACCTTCTGCTGACCTCTCATCCGGACGGATATCAGGTCTCCATCGATGCCCCTCTGGGCTCTTCGGACCATTGTCTGATCCGGAGTACGGTGCCACTCACGCTCCAATCGCAGTTGCGATCTGCAGCTTGCCGCCGTGTTTGGCACTATAGGTCAGCTGATTGGGACGGGATGCGGTCTTTTTTTGCATCCTACCCTTGGGGGCGGGTTTTCTTCTCGCCGGAAGATCCCAGTGTTGCTGCCGATTCTGTTGCTGATGTGGTACTTCAGGGTATGGAACTTTTTATTCCATCCTCTGTGGTGCCCATCGGAGGCAGATCCCAGCCATGGTTTGGTCGCTCCTGTAAAATAGCATCACGCTATAAGCAGGAGTGCTACCGGGTCTGGGCTGACGCATCAACGTCTCGGTATGTAAACACCAGCACACTTAAAAAGAAGTATAATTCCGCCTCCAGGTCCTTCAAAAGCGTCATTACCAAGGCAAGGTCTGAGCACATCGGCAGATTTGGCGAGAAGCTAGTTCGCCTTCCTTCGGGAACCCGTGCATTCTGGTCTCTCGCCAAGGCTGTCCAAGGGAACTTCTGTCAGCCATCTCTTCCATCTCTGCACAGAGAGGACGACTCACTGGCCCATGCCGCAAAGGAGAAAGCCGATCTGTTGAGCTCTCTTTTTGCGTTCAACTCGACTCTAGATGACAGGGGGAACACACCGCCGACCATCCCGCGGTGTGAGTGCTCCATGCCGGATGTGCGGTTTACACAGCGCTCGGTTCGCAAAGCACTCTTCTCCCTGGATGTCAGCAAGTCGAGTGGGCCCGATGGAGTCCCTCCCATTGTGCTGAAGACGTGTGCTCCGGAGTTGGCACCGGTTTTAACGCGTCTTTTCCGGTACTCCTACTCCCAAGGCGTAGTCCCGAATACATGGAAGACAGCTTTGGTCCACCCGATCCCTAAAAAAGCCGACCGCTCAGACCCGTCCAACTACAGGCTTATCGCCATCACCTCCTTGCTCTCCAAAATAATGGAATCCATTATAAACTGCCAGCTCATGAGGTTCCTTGAGGATCACCAGCTGAATAGTGACCGCCAGTACGGTTTTCGTCTGGGTTGATCAGCTGGTGATCTTCTAGTCTACTTAACTCATAGATGGGCGGGGGCAGTAGAGTCCAAGGAAGAGGCATTGGCCGTTAGTTTGGACATAACGAAGGCCTTCGATCGAGTCTGGCACAAAGTGCTTCTTTCGAAGCTTCCTTCCTATGGGCTTCCCGAGAAATTGTACAAATGGATCACCAGTTTCCTTGCTGATCGGAGCATCAAGGTCGTAGTAGACGGTGCATGCTCTGATTTCAAGCCTATCAACGCTGGTGTTCCACAAGGCTGCGTGCTATCACCAACGCTGTTCCTCCTGCATATCAATGATATGTTGCTAACTGGTAGCATTCATTGCTATGCGGACGACAGCACTGGTGATGCCTTATATACCGGCCGTGCCAATATTTCTCGGGAAAACGTAGCTGAGTACCGGGACAAACTTGTGTCTGAAGTCGAGTCTTTGCTTAACAAAGTCTCAGATTGGGGCCGATTAAATCTAGTCCAGTTCAATCCCCAGAAGACACAAGTTTGCACGTTTACCGCTAAAACGAACCCCTTTGTCGTATCTCCTCAGTTTCAAGGCACTCCCCTTGCTGCCTCAGCCAGTATCGGAATCCTTGGCGTCGACATATCGAATAGTGTGCAGTTTCGTGGTCACTTGGAAGGGAAGGCCAAATTGGCCTCTAAAAAGCTTTGCGTGCTCAGCAGAGCGAGACGGTATTTCACGCCGGCACATTGCTTGCAATTTTACAAAGCGCAAGTTCTGCCCCACATGGAATACTGTTCTCATCTCTGGGCCGGGGCACCCCAGTGCCAGCTCCTTCCACTTGACCGCATCCAGCGCAGAGCGGTTCGAATCGTCGACGACCGAGTTCTTTCTGATCGGCTCGATACACTGGCACTGCGTCATCATCATCGTCAACATCACGGGGAGTGCTCTGAGGAATTGTTCGCACTAATTCCAGCCGCTCAATTTCACCATCGCACATTGCGACAAAACTCGCGTTACCATCTATACCATCTGGATCATTGGCGGTCCACCACTGTGCGATTTAGAAGAAATTTTCTCCCTCGCACAACTTCCTTGTGGAATCAATTGCCACCAGCGAATTTTCCGGACCGATACGACTTAGGAACTTTCAAGAAAAGAGCTTACACCCTTCTAAAAGGCCGGCAACTCATCTGCAATTCCCCTGGTGTTGCGGTTGTTCATGAGCGGCGGTAGTCACTTACCATCAGGTGAGCCGCATGTTCGTTTGCCCCCTATTCTATAAAAAAAAAATATGAAAGTAATTATAAAAGTTAACATTTTGGTGTTTTATTTGGTGCAAGAGCGAGCAAAGTGAGCTCGGGACTTGGGGCACCTCGACTCATACTGGTTAGGTTAGACCCCCTCCATCCCCTTTGTGGTTATTTTTTTATAAACCACACAGAAATAGGAGCCCCGCTAAGCGGCCTCCCCCACAAATCAGGTTTATATCGTCAAAAACATTACAAAAACATAACCTAAAAATGAGATTTTTAAAAATTTATTAAAAAAAATCTAAGCACGTCCGGCAGGAAATGGAAGTGGGGGGTGACTCTACAACTCCCTCCCTCGCTCACTCGGCGACCATATATTCATGCCGCAGATTACTAAAGAAATACCTTCCAAAAACTTTATTAAACAAAATGTGTATAAAAAGGGTTATTATAATATTTAGGAATTTATGGATGATAATACTCCTGGGAATGAGGTGATCGGTACCAAGCTATTTCTAATTTTTGTTGTGTGGTTAATTGTGTAACATACATGATTGTAAGCTATTATTTTTAAAAAATGTCCCACTGGGTTTCTTGCTGGTTCTTCCCAGGACAGAGGTTTTTTTTTCAAACCAGTGGTAATTAAACAAAACAGTGGCTTTCAATAAGTATTATTTATAATCTATTTTGAATAAAAAAGTTTGTTTCTGTATCTATAGTGAATTCTACTCAATTAACATCAAAAAAATCAAGGTGACCTATTAACAGTTATCTGATGATTATAGAATACTTACTTGTATTACTTTATAGAATACTACTGTATAATTAATATAAATAATATACTATTAATTTAAACATCAATAATTGTTGCAATATTTAATTGTTAACAGGAAACACTACAAGGGATTCTACCACCTCCATCAGTAACAACTTTAAAAACAGATGTTACAGAAATGCTCAAGAAATATTACTGTTTTCTGCCTGCCTTCAGTGATGATGATAAACTCAATAATATAGAAGCTAATTCGATGACACCCACAAAAAAAGTTTCATTCATCCATATACCTACAGTTTCTAGTGCATGTGATATGTACCAAGAAACAGCTACCAGTAACACACATGTGAATTCTAAAAAAGTTATTGCCACAAAAGACAACAATGCTTCAGATTGTGAAACGAACACAAGTATAAATGATAAGAGTATTGAACTAAAAATGGGTACAGAAACAGAGGCAAAGGAGACTCTATGGCCCGATGTGCTTAAATGCAGATATTTTGATGTTAAGTAAGTAATGTAATATTTAATAGATTTTATATTTTTGACAGATTATGTAAAGTGGTGTTATACTATTGTGGCTGTATATATTTTAATTCCAACATACAATGCATTTAGTTAATTTTGAGCATTATTTTTATGCAGCTTCATAATTTTATTCAATTTAAATATTGAATTAAATAGTTTAATGTAATTTTTTTTAAGCATTTAATTGTTTTTAATAACACTGAAACATCATCTTTTCAATGCATTTCAATTCAATTTATTTTTCTCTTCACAACTTACATTATTGTGGATGTGAGAGCAGGCCTGTACATGGGAGTGGAAAGTAAATTTATTATAATTTTAAATAAAAACAAGTAGGCTTTTGTATAACCAAGTAGGTTTTCTATTTGTCTATTTAAGCAAAGTACTGATCTTTATGTAATATATTACAATATGTTACTTTTAGAAATTTAAATAAAAAATCTGAAAAATGGTTGACCGCTGCTGGCTGCAGGCCATCCCAGAAACACCTTAATTTATTTTACCACCACTTTATTTATTTAAAATATAAAAGTTTTTTAATAGTGATATGGTCACTAAAACATGTTGTTAGGTTAGCTAATTACGTAATAACTTAAGACAGAAGGATCCTAAGGCCGGCCACATACATACGGAGTTCCGTTTCGGGATTCCGTTTCGATATTCCGATTCGGAATTCCGAACGCAGCAAGTCCATATATTATCTATGACCCGCCACATAGGTACGGTAATTCTCCTTACGGAATTTTCTCCGATTCGAGATTCTGTATGATCGCCTGTGCGTTTGGAATCCCGAACGGAAAAAAGCCGCTTCGAACGTAAGTCTAGTCCCGAACTCATGGAAGACAGCTTTTGTCCACCCGATCCCTAAAAAATGCGACCGCTCAGACCCGTTCAACTATAGGCCTATCGGGGCATCAAGGTCGTTGTAGACGGTGCATGTTCTGACTACAAGCCTATTAACGCTGGTGTTCCACAAGGCTGTGTGCTATCACCAACGCTGTTTCTTCTGCATATCAATGATATGTTGCTAACTGGTAACATTCATTGCTATGCAGACGACAGCACTGGTGATGCTCTATACACCGGCCGTGCCAATATTTCTCGGGAAAACGTCGCCGAGTACCGGAACAAACTTGTGTCTGAAGTCGAGTCTTTGCTGAACAAAGTCTCGGATTGGGGGCGACTAAATCTAGTCCAGTTTAATCCTCAGAAAACACAAGTTTGCGCGTTTACCGCTAAAAAGAGCCCCTTTGTCGTATCTCCTCAGTTTCAAGGCACTCCCCTTCTTGCCTCAACTAGTATCGGTATCCTCGGAGTCGACATATCGAGTGACGTGCAGTTTCGTGGTCAATTGGAAGACAAGACCAAATTGGGCGCTAAAAAGCTTGGCGTGCTCAGCAGAGCGGGACAGTATTTCATGCCGGCACACCGCCTGCAACTTTACAAGGCGCAGGTTCGGCCTCACATGGAATACTGTTCCCATCTCTGGGCAGGGGTTCCCCAGTGCCAGCTCCTTCCACTTGACCGCATCCAGTGCAGAGCGGCTCGAATCGTCGACGACCGAGCCCTTTCCGATCGGCTCGATTCATTGGCACTGCGAAGAGATGTTGCATCCCTTTGCATTTTCTTTCGCATCTACCATGGGGGGTTGGGGAGTGCTCTGAGGAATTGTTCGGATTAATCCCAGCCGCCAAATTGAACGAACGCACATCGCGGCAGAACTCCCGATACCATCCACACCATCTGGATGATTGGCGGTCCACCACTGTGCGATTTAGAAGATGTTTTCTTCCTCGCACGACTTCCTTGTGGAATCGATTACCATCAGCGATTTTTCCGGACCGATACGACTTAGGGACCTTCAAGAAAAGAGCGTACTCCTTTTTTAAAGGCCGGCAACGCATCTGCAATTCCCTCCCTGGTGTTGCAGTTGTTCATGGGCGGCGGTAGTCACTTACCATCAGGTGAGCCGCATGCTCGTTTGCCCCCTCTCCTATAAAAAAAAATCTTACACTGATTTTGTTCGAGTCGCAACAAACATTCGTAAATTCCGTACGGAACGCGCTCAGTGTTCGTTGCACGACTGGAGCGAGTAGGTGTGTTTATGTATGTTTTTACATTTAATCTTATATGGGTATAGTTTTTCGTAACCTTTTATCATATTTAATTTAATAATTCGTCAAAAGAGCTTACAAAGATCTATATTTAAAAAATATCTCTGGATTGATAGATCTTTCTACATAATATTGACTATATTGCAAGCTTAGGGTGATAAGGGGAAGCACTTAGTAAAAATGATACAGCAACAATGGAATCGCAATCAGAAAATCGTCGTCATTATTCGCTGGTAGAATGTCTAGACTCAATGGCTAACATCTCTCAACTGACCCTTGCTATACCGAACGGAAATAAACGTATGTGTGTGATGCATTCACGAAATCCCGAATCGGAATTTCTAAACGGAATCCCGAAACGGAATTCCGTATGTATGTTGCCGGCCTTAAGTAGGGACTGAATAAATTAACAGACTTGGTATTACATGGATCTCACAACTTTTTATGGTAGAAGAACTGAGTTGCGAGACTTGGTTTTTTTACAAGTTATGTTTTTGATGGCATCTCATTTCTTTTTGTAGATAATTATATCTACGTACCTATCTACACCTATTATTCCATTATATTATACATATATAGGTAAACTGATACATTTACTGCAAATGTAACTTTGTAATCCTATATTTATATGAGACAAAGTTATCTATGCAGTTGGTGTATCTCGAAAACTGGACCTAAATTGCAATATATTTTAGTTTTTCCTTGATTTATATACTAAACTGCTAGAAGTGTCTTAGTGTTTTGATGATCAGTCAGTGAGTGCGTGACAAAATTAAGAAACTTTGACTAGTTATAATTCTTAAACTACTGGTTCAAATTTAATGAAATTTGAAATATACCAAGTTTATACAATGCCTACTAAAAATTCAGGCCTCTAGTTTTATCCACAACAAAGTTATAGGGTTTCGAAAATAGCCTGAACTGCTTCGAGAAAAGGATGGTACGGCCGTGCCGCTTTTTTGCTCGACTTGGTGAGGGCACTGCCGTGCCCCCAGATTCATTTTTACCCAACTGCCCTAGAAGGAGTAATGTTTTTCGAGAGCATGTTTGTATGTATATCTATTTCTTTGGCACATTCAATGTGTAGGGAAAAAAAAACACGCTACTTATCTCCGCATTTAGTTATCGTGATTCGAGTGAATGATGCCGTGTTAACTTCCGCAGACATCGACGTTTGACAGGCAATGTCAACAATTGCAGAACAACACAGAATGTAATCATCATCATCATCATTACAGCCCTTCACAAGTCCACTGCTGAACATAGGCCTCCCCCAAAGAATGCCACAAAGCACGGTCCTGAGCCACCTGCATCCATCGACTTCCTGCATGTCTTACCAGGTCGTCACTCCATCTCGTGGGGGGACGCCCTAATGTAATGCAATGTCGAATTAGGATTATTTCATTTATTCACCCTAAAAACGTTTAATAACGCCTAAACAGCTTGATGGATTTTAACATTATGAGGTGTTGTTATATTCCTCTTAGTTGTGGAAGTGACATAGGGTATAAAATTTTTCTCTTTTCAGTAAACTTTTTACGCAGTATGGATTTTTTTTAAATTATTGTTTTAACCTTTAAGCTTGTTTGTTTTGTGTGTGTACCATTTAAATTATATTATTACCATTTCATCTTGTGAGTATCATAAGAGGTGACTAGTTATGGGAAATGCCACAAAGATGGCTTCCGTTCGATTTGTTTCCGAGGCATTCAATCTTAGCCACAGCAACCACTTACCATCAGGTGGACTGTGTGCTTGTTTGTCACCCTTATCCTATAAAAAAAACGATTCTCTATTGTGACATTGTTATGACTAGGGTCAAAGGTGCGAGTCATTTGATACTGCGATCGTGGATCGATCCGTCTGCCAAGAATGACAATTATGTCTAACCCTTCTTGGAGAAGCCCATTTCTAAAAATGGGAAATAGTAAAAAAAAAAATTTTAAAAGTGAACTTTTATAAAACATTCTGGGAAGCATGTAGCCTGAATGAATAAATGACTATTTAAATCACTATCAACTATCTTTAAACAGGTATAAATATTAAATAGAGATGTACATAATATTATAATAAAAAAATCGCCTAGTTCAGCCATCAAAATAGCATGCAAATATTATTACTGTTTACAATTAGATCATATTTTATTGTATAATTTTAGGTCATTAAATAAAAGATTAACTTTTTGATACAAATAATTTGCTAATTTATTAATTCAATTAACTAATCTTCACATACCAAAAGTTCTTTAATGTTGTTAAACATTTGTGAAAGAGCCAAGTGTCAGGTGTTATTTTAAACTTATTTGATGGCAGTATGATTATGTAAAGTTAAAGTGTAAAGTTATGATTATGTAAATTTTTTTTTATAAAATTGAATTGACTAATGACTGTCACTCCACCTGATGTAAAAGTAGCTGCTGCAGACACGTGATACCTTCAAACAAAGGCAACGAATGAGTTTTCACCTTTAAGGACTAAGAAGGAATGCCTAACAGCCTGTTATTATACTTTTTTTTTAAATAATTTAAAAAATAAAAATTTTGTACTGCTGACTTCAATATAAAATATTAAGTATAACTCAAAAACTATTGGTCTGACCTTCATCAAATTCATATGGGACCACACGAGAAGTACCAGCTTTCAAATAAAAAAAAAGAAAAATCAAAATCGGTTCACCCAATAAAAAGTTATGAGATAACACACATAAAAAAAAAACATACAGTCGAATTAAGTACCGTCTCCTTTTTGTAAGTCGGCAGAAAAGAATAGGTGTGACAAACGACCACACAGTCCACCTGATGGTAATTGGAAGTTGCTCTCTATGTCCTTCAAACTGGAGCTAACAGTACATGCACTGTTATTTGACGTGAGAAATAGGATTAAGAGGGTGGTAGCTAGTACAAAAAGACTCCTATTCAGAGAAAAATGTTGATGAAAACCTAGATGTCTATTTGATTGGTCTGGCTTAAATGAAATGACACATGAAATCTTCTGGTATTTCCCATAAACGCCTGTTATGACATCAACTGGACGAAATTAACTTTCTATTGTTAAAGTTACTGTTTGTTTCATTCTATTAGGATTTTTAATCATAACAATATGGTAAAAGTAATAGGTTTATTGATTCTGATTTAATTTGGACGTATTTTTACAGTTACAATATTTCGAACTACACTGAAAAATATGAATTGTTACTTCAGCGGTACAGAGAAAGATTTGTCGGAGGCGAAACTGATACCAGTGTTAACATTTATTCCGGTGGGTTGCAGTCCCCTAGCAGTGCAAGCAAGCGGAAAGCGTTGAGACTCAAGTAAGTGTACAATTTAGGCATTACTAATTATTATGGCTACAAGTTCTTTAGTGTTACACTACTAATATGTTAATTGTCCATATTATAATTAATTTTAATTTTGTTGCTCTTCATTGCACTAATTGGTATATATTGTATTTTAGTTGTTTCTAGTTTTATAAATCTTACTAGATCTTGCTCGCGGCGTCGCCCGCACACAATATGTTTACATAATTGATTAAATATTAAGATAATATTTAATCAATTATGTAAACATATTATATACTATTAAAAGTATTATAGTATTTATATACTATAATACTTTTAATAGTATTATTAAAAATATTATAAAAGTATTATAGTATTTATATACTATTTAAAGTTTTTATCTCAGATCGCTATCTAAATTTATTGTCGTGCTTTATAGATTTTCGCTAATATTCGTCTGCGAATAACATGATACCAGTGTTAACATTTATTCCGGTGGGTTGCAGTCCCCTAGCAGTGCAAGCAAGCGGAAAGCGTTGACTTAATTTATACATATATAATATGTATAAATTAAGTCAACGCTTTCCGCTTGCTTGCAGAAACTATGTATTTTTAATCAGTCATCAAAAAAATCCAAGTATCTGAAAATATGAAATAAACCATATGTTAAAAGTTACCATCTATATTCGTTCCACTGCTGGGCACTGGCCTCCTCTCATTTCTGAGAGGGTTTGAGGGTTTGAGAGGTTTGCAAACCATATGAAGCCTATAGAAATAAAATATCTATATTTCTTCAAATTAAGGAAGTAAAATTTCTTATGTCAAAGATAATTTTTATAGTTTACTATTGTTTCCAAATGATGTTTTTCTGACCACAGAAAATCTATTATAATTAATTATAATTTATAAATAATTAATTATAATATTGAAAACTATTGTGTTGTACGTAACCTATTATAAACAAGGTTGTTATTTTGTTTGGAATGTGAAGATTTTTATTTAAAATAATTATGGTGGCAACAGAATGGCCCAGGCGAAGTCTCCGGGCCGTCGCCTGTCTCATTTGGCTCGGCGTCGACAAGCATTCTGTAGTGCCGCGACTATAAACGAGAAAGCGCAAGCGTCAACAGCTAAGATGGTGCTTATTGATAAGAAGTAAGTTTTGCAACATATTTTTATACTAGTGATTATGTTAAGTCAGAACAGACAACAGCAGAAATTCATAGTGAACTTTTGTTTAACAACAGTTTATTGTTGCTAGCAACTAAAAGAAACAATGTCCATTGTCCAACATCAATATTATGGACGTATTCCTAATAACTAGTATTGTTGTATACCCAATATTAACTTCATTTAAATAATAAACGAATAGAGACAGTGCGAAATTATCTCTAGAAATAAAAATAAAGACAAAATTTAATGAGTGACTTCAAAATGGGTAGATTGTTCATTATTTCAAAATTTGCTTGAGCATCGGCATCACTACTAGTTTGCCTCATAGGCGGATATAAACCATAGTGGCCACGCTTGGCAGGCGGGTTGACAACCTGTTTTTTTATTTTATGCACGACGTGTATAAGTCGCGGTACGTAAGTCTAGCGGTGAACGTTATTGCGCATAAGTCGAAAACAAGGTATCATGAGGTATTTTTGCCACGTGGTAGAGCCACGCTGCAGCTATATTAGTAGTATAGTTTCGGCTCGACCGGGGAAGGACCACGCTTTCACAGAATACCAGCGTAAAATAGCAACTTAACACTGCTGTGTTTCGTATGGTGAGTGTAGAGAACCGGAGACCCTTTTTACTGGACAAGAGGCATTCCATCTTAGTCCTCACGGGTGACAACGCATCAACATTTTGAGTCTTTATCGAGGATAGATGTAGATGTCTATGGGTCACAGTAACCACTTACCATCAGGTGGACTGTGCTCGTTTCTTCACCCTATCCTATAAAAAAAATTAAGCGCATCGCGTGGCGGCCGTGCATATCATTTGCACGCTGGTTAGCTCTCCAGTCGCATTCCGTCTCCCGTACTGACTGATACGTGATACGTGCGCGACAGTACCTTTGCGCAGCTATCCCCTCAACGTTTCGTTCAGCGCTAGACTTACGTGCCGCGACTTGTACCGCTGCGAGCACGCACCGCGCTGCTTAAAGATTTTGTTAAAGATTTTATCGAGCATCCACGCACAAAACAATTACTGTTGTTAACAGATGTTTATTTTCACTGATCCGCAACTTGTCAACTTGGTGCCAGACAGCATTTCCACTATAGTCCTCTGAGGTGATAATAGTCTTCGCTTCTTATTCCAGTTTTTTTCCATCAGGTGGAATAGTAACTTGTCATTGCAAGAATGTTACACAATATTTGTTTACCCTGAATATATACCAAATACTTATTAAGTTATTTGGTAAATACAATATGAGATTTAGAGGCGTTTTAAATAATGTCCGACCGAAGCTTCGGCCAAAATGGGCCAAAGTTTAGGACGAAGCCGAAGGTTGCTATCAAGCGTCGAAAAAGAACGAATTGTTACAAATGAGTGAGAGCGCCATGGACGTGGCGACAATGTAAACCTTTAATTGAGAAGTTTTAAAATCATTTATATTATTAATAAAAAAAATATGCGTGAGTGTTGTGGAACACTCGGTTGGAACGAAGTTCCTTTCGTAGTATATTATTACTGATAAACATATTATATTATTGATTAACAAATACAAAAAAAAAATTACTAGCATCCATTAAAATGAAGCGTCATTTAAAATAAAATGGTATTTCTTTCATGGCAAGATACGAAAAAGTGCGAGGGAGATGGATATTATTCCATCTCGCTTCCTTATAGTTTTACTCGCCTAGCCCCCATCCGCTAAATTCTTACCTCCCGATAAGGAACTTCGTTCCAAAATTAATTTTCGACAAAATTAAGTTGAACTTCCTAGGGTATTTAAGACTTCGGCTTCAGCTGAAGGTTGTGGCGATAGCCGATTAATAGGCTTCGACTTCGACCAGAAATCAACCAACAAACAGCAATTATAAATCATTACTATTATTGATTTATATGTAAAACAATACAAATTTATCTGTGTTAAAATTACTCATATACTCTTACAGCTAAAACTAATATAAACAAGATGCATACAACTATTCCTATAATTAACTAAACAATATCTTTTAAGTTTCTTCCCACACAGAAAACTGATAAATTCGGCGGAGAGGAAAAGCCCACGGTTACGACGCACTCCAGGCAAGAGGACACCAATACGCAATACACCAGGCAAGAAAACACCAGCGAAGACACCAAAGACCAAAAGCGGAGGATCCAGTAAGAAGAAAGCTATGAGGAGGTTGCTGATGGACTCTGAGAGCTTATCTCGATCGCAGCCAACACGAGAAACTCTGAAAAGGGCGCTATTTGTCAGCCCTGAGAACAGAAAATCCATTCCAAATACTACAAGTTCCTCCATGCCACATCAAGCTATGAAATCAAAACGAGCATTATTCGGATCTCCAGTGAGATCTGCGGAGACTAAAAGCATGGACGGCACCATCAGCGATCAGTTCCTCAAACGCAAACGTGATTCATTAGATGATGAATTGGATAACGGGAGGAGTAAGATAGCAAAAAGTTTGTCATTCGGTGGAGACTCCATAAGCAGATCTCAACCCATCGCGTTTAATCGTCGGGCATCGGAAATACTATCCACAAAGAATTCGGCAGAATTAAACGAGACACATAAGAAGGTTTGAATTCTCATTTAAATAGATTTTGTATGTAATTTTTCTAAAAAGTTATAACTCTTACTTGTTAGAGGTTCGAGGCATTCATTCATTCTAGATCAAGTCTACTGTTGAAAAGAGGAGGGGTTATCTACGGGCGCCTCCCCAATAGATTTCCTGACATAAGGAGTTTTTGTTGAGAGGAATGTTTGTTATAGTTGCCAAACTTGGTTGCCTCTTACGTCATCCACGGAAAATGCTATAGGGTGTGTGGATTTTCTTACGCCGCCATTAAACTTTATCTGTCCCCTATTCTGGTCATACATTTGAATCCCAGACAGAGCTTATATTCGTGCACAACAAACGAAAAAACAATTGTGCGACCTGACCTACCTTCCATCTTTCACATAATGTTCTCCAAATCGAATTTCGTTAAGTCTCAGCGGTGACTAATCATCTGCACAGGACTGGATGCGTATACACAGGTGCATTCACTACTCTCTCACTCTTAAAGTCCCATGTGACAACAATATGACTAAACCTGGAAAATATTAGGCACAGGTCAGGATTGGTTTTTGTGCGTTTTTCGAGGTACGCGGATGAAACACCGGCATCTCCCTAACTCTGAGCTGTAACAGAAATATTGTAAAAAATTCTTCACAGAAAATCGCCAAAACTGATTTCGTTTCAACCCGGAATTCGAACTCGGGACGTGATCATGATTAACGTTCGCGATTACGATCACTAATACAACAAGTCAGTCTATCACATAAGAGTTCCATCAAGAACGGGTGAGTGTGTGAATGGCCTCTGTATTAGGCTAGGGCATACACTTGTGGCTTAATTTATTTTATGGATAATAATTTATATTTCATGCGCAATCGATAGCTAGTCGCTGTCATTATAAAACTAATCTCTAACGACACTTATGTGAAGTTTGATGCTTTTACCTTTTTTATAAAAGTGAGGGTAACAAACAAACACAAATTTCCACTTGATGGTAAGTAAATGCTGTTACACGTAGATACCTACATCTATCCTGGATTTAGAATTATAATGCAGATTGGTTGTCACCCCTGAAGACTAAGATGGAATGCCTCGTTACATAGAAAAAGTCTCTCCGGTTCTCTGCACTCACCATACAAAACACGACATTATTCTGCAGTTAATCACTGGTATTACGAGATAGTAGTCCTACCCCAGTGTAGCCAATCACGGAGCAAATACAAAGAGGTGTTGTATTTAGATTTAACTATGTAATAACGCGTGACAATTGGCGGGGCGAGGGGGTGTTAAGCCCCGCCCACTTAACTATTTTCAATAGCAATGTAGTTTAGCTACCTTGACGATAGATGGCGGACTGTTCACAAAATGGTTATAAAAACTATAAAAATAATTATGGCGATTAAAAATTCTTTAGGACTGAATGCAAAACAAATTTTAGCACCTTCGTATGATTATTTTACCAGTACTGAGCTCTATGTACCTTTATATTTTTAGTTCCCATGTCACAAAGTGTCGGCATCTAGTGTCGAATATATTTAATCATATTTGAAAGCCGACGCAAAGAGATTTTTCTAGAACTATTTTAATAAATTAGGTATAAAATTACTTATAAATGAAATGTCATGCTATCCATAGCATCAGAGCGTCTATCTGAGTAGTTTTTTCATGATAAAACACAACACTTCATCCTTTTCTTCTTAATACTACGAAAATACACCGATTTGCGATTTTCGACATATAACAGGACGAACGCTGACAGTTTACTAACTAAAGCCACGCCCACTGTGTTGACGTCAGGACCTAGTTAGAATCACAGTGCACAGTTATTTAGGCCGTCTCCTCTTTGTATTTGCTCCGTGTAGCCAATTCATTCGTGCTGCAGCCATAATACATCTGCAGCACGGCTCGACCAACTTTTACTGGTAATGAGGCATTCCATATTGGTCCTTGGTGACAACGCATTTATATTTAACTTTTTATAGGAGATAAATATAGATGTGTATGGGCCGCGGCATCCATTTCCTATCTGTTCTGTGAACTGTGTGTTCGCTTATCACCCTTATTCTATAAACAAATGCTATAAAAGTATTGTAACGCTTATTATGTGTTATTTTCTTGCAGAAACTTTTATGGGCGGTATCTGAGGCACTACGAGTCCATGGCTGGCGCATGTCGTCGCCGGGATTCCGTGAGAAGGCGTCCGCCCTGGCGCGACTGACCAGACGTCTGCTGACCTTGCCCCCTCACGCGGCCAAACTTGCGGCACCTAAGTTGTCAACTTCGGAAACCATGCTCAAGTGAGTAGCTTTGATCATCATCATCATCATTATAGCCCTTCACGAGTCCACTGCTGAACATAGGCCGCCCCCAAGTAATGCCACAAAGCGCGGTCCTAAGCCACCTGCATCCATCGACTTCCTGCATATCTAACCAGGTCGTCACTCCATCTAGTGGGGGGACGCCCTACACTTCGTCCGCCGGTACGAGACCGCCACTCGAGAACCTTTTTTCCCTATCGGTTGTCGGTTCTTCGAGCTATATGGCTGGCCCATTGCCACTTCAGCTTAGTTTAGTTTACGACGGGCTGTTATCCGCAACTCCACGTCTATGCGCGTATTTTGCGTGTGGGCAGGTTTCAGTAGCACGTGGGCCGCCGCTTCTTCCTCCCCCATACATGCCCTGCACAGGGGGACTATCTGTAACACCTATAGTAAATAAATGTGATAGCACTTGTTACTATCCTGATCTGCGGCTTGTTTAGTCTCTGTTTATTTCAGGCAGGGCCTCCCTAGCTTGTCTACAGTCTACTAGATTTTTCCAAAGCTGTGCGTGTTGATTAGTGAAGTGTCTACGTACCAGTGAACGAATGTTACCGAAAGGGATTGGTATGATTGGTTCCGGCCCTATAGTGGCCAAAGCCGATCCTCTTCTGGCCAGTTCGTCTGCTGCATCGTTGCCTCTGGATCCACTGTGTCCCTTTATCCATTGCAGAGTCACATTCTGGCATTGGATGGCATTCATATATTAGTCCCGAGTTCACAACATTGCAACTCAGAGCTTGTAGTACCGCCCTACTGTCGGTCAGTATTCTGATGGGGAAGTCATTAACCTTCCTAGCATCTATTGCTATGGCCGCTTGAATGATACCCTGTAACGTCGGAACTCGGAAGGTGTTGAATGAAGGAGACGTGTTGCTTGTACAAGAACTTTAATTATACTGTCGCTATTCTATACTTAATACTAATATCATAAATGTATATTGTTGGAGGTAAAGGGGTGTCTACAGGGCACTACACCTCCCACCGATAAAAAAAATAAAAAAAAAGGAATGATTACATTTTTTTTATAAACTTTAAAAATATTTTCTTATACTTTGTCTTACATTTCAAGATTCTTTTATTTAATTCACTTTTTTTTATTAACTTTATATATTTACTTCATTCTTCGGTAACTATTATTTATTTTTCATTTTACTGCATGGCATTAAATATCATTAATAATAATATTCATCAAATAATTGCGTCTTTTCTTTCACGTACACAGCTCGCGTATACATAATTAAGAAAATGGCCAATGTATATTTTCCTTTCCAAATCTTATAATTTGCTGAGGTCATTCAATTTAACCAAAAATTTAATTATTTCATTTAATAGTAAGATGAACAGAACAACGAAGTCAACGTTAAACAATGTAATCATTTTCAATAACGATAACATAATCACATAACAAAAGACAGATCAAAATACAAATTGCATTCCCAGCCGCGTAAGTGATTTGAGACACCTTTGTTTCAATTACCAAAGTACGTATATGGAAACGTTTACTATACATCGTATTATGATCACGCTATTTTAACATAAGTTGTACAATGTTATAATTACATACATATATGGATACATGTAAAATGATAGTTTTAAATTTCTTATTTATTATATAATTTTAGATGGTTACATTAATTTTACATCCATCAAAAAAATGCGTTAGTTTTTTTTTTATGCTTACAGAAAATAATTGAATAATCACTGTAACACCTATCAACTTTACACAACAAAACATTAAAAATTTAAACATTCAAAAGAACACTTAATTTTTAAGTACGTTATTACATAACTTTAATGTCCCTGCTTTTATAAAAGAAAAGAAAAGCTAACACTTATTAATAATACCGAATTGTTTTTACCCTTTTCAAATTGAATCTTACATTTAAATAAAATTTCCTATAGAAAAAAAAAACATGTGATATAGGAAATGTGTCAATGAGAAGGACACGTTTTGCTCACTCAGTTCAATAGTTTAGCTTGATTTATTTTTTATTATTACATTTTTACATTTACTTCTTTATTAGATATTCTTTATTACATAATTTTACCATAACTTTCAAAATGTTTTATTATGAATACACTTAAAATGTATCTGAAAATTATAGTATTAAACGCTTTTAATTTACGTATTAAATATTTTACATTGTATTGTGTCATAATAAATTTACATACATTATCAAGTATTTATTATTATAAATGTTATTTATCATTAATAGTCGTAAACGCATTATTACTTTTTTAAGATGTCATGACTCGTAAGGAATATGTTTATCTCATTTGAAACAGAAATTTATGAAAAAATAGGCTATTACACAAATATAAGTTTGTATATCACAATATATGTTGTATTTGTTGTTTTAAGTATTTTTAGTATATAATAACATAATTTTAGGTTTCATTGTCTACAATAAAAGAAAAAAAACTATTACATTATGAAACTAATAATAATAGCGGATCGATACTGTTTCGACTTGATTTTAAAAAGCAATATAATATGTATAAACCAACTTTAGTTTAAGATTGTTCAACTTTTACATAAACAAAAAAACATAACATAAAATAGAAAATTTAAGGTTAAATTATTAATTTAAGGAAAAAATCTTGTAAATTCATATAAAATTTAATTAGTTATTTTATTAGTTTATTTCATATTTAATTAGTTATCTTTTTGTGTACATGTGGTTGTGTGTCTATAATTACTACATGTTTAATTTGTGAGTGTTAAATAATTGCCTGTATTTAATTAATATTAGTGGGCTGAAATGTGCGCCATGCATTTATTGTATAAATATAATATTTTTATACTCTTCTCTGATTACGTTCGTATCTCTAATTTATTTCAACATCTTCTTCCCTATTTTTTTTTAATTATGTTGAATTTTAAACTTTAGGTAATTGATTCTATATAATTACTTACTAAACAATCTTTTATAACTTTATTATGACTTTTCATCATTTTTATAACGTAATTATTAATATTACTTGTGTAATATGTACCTATTACAATAATAATTTACATAATTATTTTATTTTATTTTAAGCCCTATACTCTATATTATTGCGATTATCCATAAAATATATTATTTGCTATATGATTATAACACGTGGATTATATTAGATATTTATTTAATTATACCTGTAGTTATGTGGATCGATCCTATAGTTACTACATGTGCAACTAGTACGTAGGTAGCATTTTGGGTAGCATCCTAGTAAGGAAATGCAAATAACTACATATCTCACTTTATAGATTTGGTCGGGGATCCCCTTAATACCTTGTATGTAACTCATTTTATTTCTTGTCATGTCCTTTTATGATTTTAAATTTTCTCATTTCATTGTACTTATTTTCATACCAGTACGACTACTCCTATTTACTTTGTTTAAATTATACATATATGTATTTATATTTTCTTTTATATATCTTGTATGTATATACTTTCTTTCCTTTCATAATAATTTATTATTTTTGACCTTTTAGCTAGCTTAATTAGTTTTCGTAATTCTATTCACTTATATATTTATTTATTAATTAGATATCGGGAATCGGAGTATAAATTCACTTCATTTATATTTTATTTCGTGATATTTATCACGCGGGTACTTTATAAATATGGGCCCCCCATTTACTTGGGTATTATATCACTTTTTCATAACATTCATTTCATTTTATTGGTACATAAACATTTTCTTATCATACTATATCAAGGCAAAACTGTACCTTGGGTTGTGCGCACAACCTCGAGGTCAACTTTTAAGTCATTTTAAAAGGACTCCAACAATTGTCACGGAGGAAAACTAAGTTCACATTATGATCCAATGAAGGATGTGACCTCTATGTACCATTATTAAGGGTAACAAATTTAAGACTTCTCTGGTCCCCAACAGTACTAATATGAGTAAACTCGTTCACATCACTTGTACTAAAGGTATTGTTCCCTAGTACCCGTTACTCCCGATTTTATCATCCAATCATGGAAACATACCCTGCTCGAGGACTATATGCTTTACCAGTGATGGACGTTCCCGTATCTCTCCATTTACTTGTTTATCAAGGTCAACATATGTTATATTTCTATTCTGTTAATAAATCTTATTTCCTTCTTTATTTATACATGACCGTGTTTTTTTTTTTTACTAACATTTAATATCTGTTTGAGTGTATCGGTTATTTTTATTCATTTCCATATACTAACTTGCATTATTCTCGCTCATAATGAATTCCACACCAGGAGTTTAAGCATTCATCAATATTTGGGTGATCAGTCCAATATTGAGGAAACTTAGCAACTCAATCATTCGTATTCACACTTTCGAACATTCTTTTCTTCCATTCCTTATGTCTTTTAATTACCTACATTCTAATTTTGTACAATAAAAGTACAATTTTTTTTTTGCCGTTGATAACTCTGTTAAGGAACATTAGTATTAAACCCTCTCTTAATTATTTTATTTCTTACTTTAATGTATTTCATTATTTTCATATTTACGTTAATACTATGAACGATCATTTTTTATTTATTTTCTGATAGTTATTATTTTCGTCTTTATTAGAATGTTGTTATGATTTATTTTTATGCACCTGTTCATATATCACATATAGCTCTCTATTGTTAATCTATCTATCTATCTATAAAATAAATCTCTATAGTTAATTTTTGCACGACACAGTAATAAAAATAATATAAAACCATAACTGAATAAAAGTGAATATAAAATCGTCTTGTCGTCTCCTTAATAAAAATATGCCACAGAAGTGCATACGTAACTTAATTTATAATTATTGCGTTTTGATTATTTTTTAAGATACAGTAATGAAAATATTAAAAAAATCGATTGAATCTTAAACTATCTGATAATTACTTTCAATTTAAACATAGGTAACATATTAAATCATCATCATTTTCATCATTACAGCCCTTCACAAGTCCACTGCTGAACATAGGCCTCCCCCAAAGAATGCCACAAAACACGGT